GAACAAGATAAAGCCCAAGCTCAGAACAGCAATGCGGCGAACATCATCGTTGACATCACTGACAGCAACGTGGAGAAGCTTGCGGACAGCCTTGTTGCTACTGCTACCACAGTACGCAAGAGCGATCGTCATGATACCGCCATAACGGAGAGTGGGGTCGGGATCACCCAGAAGACCGTTGATCAGCTCGTCGGCAGCCTCTTGACGCCCGTACATGATCAGAGCCATTCCCAGAGCCAAGCCACGGACGATCTTTTCATGCTGCGTGTCATGAGCGTACTGGATCATGTCCTCAAGCACTCTCATGTTGCCGGTGCCCAGCATGACCAGACCCATGGCGAGACCGACAGCCTCGCCGTTAAGTGCAGAGTCGGTGTAGAGTACATTCCGCAAGTCTTCGTAGATAGACTCGTTGCCGGTCGCCATCCCCGCAACACCGAGACCCAAGGCGCCACCGTGCTGAACAACTTCCTCGGTGGCCTTCTTGAAGTGATCACGGATAAGATCCACAGCCATGCCGCCATGGTTAGCATAGATCAAACCTAGTGCATACAAGGAACCTCCTTGGCTGTAGACCGAGCCTGAACCTCCAACACCCGCGATGTGCTCCCGAGGCAGGTAGGGCTGCAGGAGCTTCTCACCCTGGGTCAAATTGCCCCGGTGGATAACACCCAGTGCCGCGGTAGCGGTGAACTTCGACCAATTAACAGCTTTACCCAACCATTCCAGGTTGTCTCGGAAGAACTTGTCGTGGGTAGTGCCGGCATGCATGAAAGCGTTCGAGAGCGTGACAGCAGTGTGGAAAATAGAGTTCCGCGCCTCCAAACTATCCCGGACCTTGTTCAAGATAGCGATGTCGGCCTTGTTGTTGCGGTACAGGAATTCCAAATTTAGTTGGATGGTCTTTCTACCATCGATGATAGCAAGAACGTTCTTGTAAGCCGCGCGCGCTTCAGTCGAGATCTTGGTCTGCTCGCTGTTCTCGCCAATAGATCTGGATTGGCTATCCAGCAAAGGATCCGATTCCTTGGGTTCCTCTTCAGCCTTCGACTCAGACTCCTCGCTCGCCTGTAGGGGCTCGGCAATCTCGCTGCGAACTCTCTGAAGGAACTCCTGTGTACCGTTGTCGTAGAGATCGAAGGAGATTTGGTAGGCAACGGCGAGTGATCGCGCATCACCCTTGTCGACCAATTGACGAAGGATGGCCGACGCCATTGAGTGCTCGTTCAGATACACTACACACTTGGCAATCGAGAAATAGTCGGGCGCAGGGATTTCGTTGAGGAGATCGAGGATAAGCTTAAGGATCTTTGGAGGTAAATGTTAGAATCAGTGTAAGGGAGCAATAGAGAGGAAGATATGGACATACGTCATTGCGGAAGCCACGCTCCTGCACAATTCCCATGCAGATGTCCAGCACATACTCCATAAGCTCTTCACTTCGTCGTGATTCGCCGTTCTGCTTCTTCTCGTCGTCACTAGCCCGGATAATTGTTTTCCGAAGGACATCAAGGTTCTTAGCCTCGATGGCAATTCCAATGACTTGACGATACCTCTTTTGAGTGAAGCACTGCTCAAACAAGCGATCGATGATTGCTTGCAACTGACCCTGAACTCCCCGCTTCAACACCAAGGGCGTCTCGACCTGCTTGATGCTCGCATCATCGCCACCCGGGTAGGCCGCATCCACTCCGGGCACTTCTTGTCTGGATAAGAGAGACTTGGATGGCAAGGCGGACTGTGAAAATGGTGTGATTGGGGATGTCAGGCTGGCAGAGGTGCTCGTGGCTCCTTCACCGGAGGTGGGGAATGAAGTGTTCAGGTTCGCAGGTTGGTCACCTGCTGCCGGCCGCTGGGCAGCGGAAAGCGAAACAAAGGTGTCAACACATTTGGCTGATAAATGTAAGCATTAGGTACTAGCCACTTCAGTGGTGATAGATGAGCTCAGTAGACATACCGATGATTGTTTCCTCGAATTCGCCACCACTGTCCAGCTTGAACAGCTTTCCGGCACCTAGTGCAAACACCATACTTTCGTTGTACTCCTGGAGGTGATAATACACCTTGGCGGCGACTAGAGCGGCAAGCTCGCGTTCCGGAAACGATTCATCTTCGTAAAGCGCCTCTCTAAATTCCAAGGAATCAGTCTCAGAATAAAATGAAGCAGTTCATGGTTGGAATCGAGATGGAGTTGGGAACATGGGTGCGTCCATCGAAAACGGACAATCAGGCTGACAAACGAACATTTGAGGTACGGCGTCGACGACTTCTGTCCAGAGGAGGTCGATCTGGGAGTCAAGGGTCTTCAAAGCAAAGACTCGCAACTCTGGATCAGACTCAGAAAGAAAGCCGACAAGGCCGGCGGCTGAAGCAAGTCCAACCATGTCTGAAGGGAGTGTTCTGGATTGATGGGAAATGGCAGCGCTGTCGCTAGAGGATGGGGCGACAGCTTGGAATGAGCCGTGAAGTGGTTGAGTCGGTTGAACCCAATCTGCGAATTTCAGGACTACTGAAGATCAAAAGGCGCAATGTACACGTGAAAACGAGATGGATAAAGCAAGCGGGACAGAAAGGTGGATGGTGGGAAGAGACAAGCTCGGAGTGATCAGGAAGCTTCAAGGTTCCTTTCCAGCAGCAGCAGCAGCAGCAGCAGCAGCGAGGCACACGTCAACGGGGCGGAGGGAAGCTGTCGAATGGTATTCCTGGTTTCTGCCGACCGCCCTATTTCTGTCACGTGCCCGGTGATGGCATGCGACATATGCAGCAGGTCCCTGTCCACAGGAGTGACCCTATCTTTCTCTTTATCATGTCGTGTGCAAGGAATTCGTGACTGAATCATTTCGCTCCATTGAAGAGAAATTTGAGACGGGTATTTGTACCCTGACTCCCGCCGAATTTCATCTCAATTGCTCGGTCTTCTCCAAGCCGTCATCACCCCCAAAATGTCGGCAATATTCGCGCCGAGAGCTTCCACGTACCAGCAAGACACACTCGTATACATTGACCGACAAGCCAAACAAATTGAACTCAACCTGCAGAGTTTCATCGATGCTCAAAGTGAAGGCCTTCTTGCTGGCCTGGTGGGACCGCAGTCCAATGCTACTCCCTCGACTAGTGGGAGCCATACTCCAACCTCAGCGCTGGGTAGTGTCCAGGGGCCCTCTACTGTTCCAGTGAGACAACCACCTCCCGAGAAGATTGGTCTTCGTGCGGCTCGGGAAGGCATATTCAAATCTATCTACGACTTGCTGAAGTTGAGAGAGGAGGAACATGAGCTACTGATCTCCCAGGTCGATGAACGACACGATGCACTCCAGGACATTGATGGATTTAATACCAAGCGTGCCGGCTTAAAGGCCGCAATCTCGACAATTCAAGACGATAAGGAAGGTCAGCGGACCAAAGACCTACGAGACGAAAGTCGCAAACTGGAGGAAGACATCCATGAAATGGAAACCAGACTGTCCCGAATGAAGGCTAGGCACCAAGATGTCATCCGGGAATTGTCGCAAATGGAAAACTCGGTCGACTCTAAGTTGTCCTCCTACAAAGCTTCTTTAACACTCTTGGAGTCGGACGTTCAAAGATACCTCCAAAATCCGCCTGTGAGACCTCTATCGGCCAAGTCTAGTGACGCGACGTTCTACACCCTGAACCCAAAACGACGGACCCTCGATCTCGCCCACGAACACTGGACCAAGGAGCAAGCGGACCTGCGCAGCCGAGAAATGGAAGTTAAAGCAGAGATCGAAGCGCTGGAGGCTGGTGGCGGAGTTTGGAAACAAGTAGTCGGGGAAGTTACCGGTTACGAGAAGCGGTTGAAGGCGATCATGCGCCGCTTCATCCAAAACCAGTCACAGCTTCTGGGTCCAGAGGGTACTTCACAAACCCTATCGGAAGAGGGCATTGCCCGGACTGTGCTAGAGGATTTGAGACACACATCTGAACGCGTAGAAGATCACTTAGAACTTGCGGAGAGTAAGAACTGGAAATTACTCGTTTGTTGCATCTCTGCAGAGCTCCAGGCTCTGCAAGAGGCTCGCCAACTCCTGCTGAATTTGTTCAATGTGTCCGATGCCGACGTCCGGTCGCCTGTCGATGGGCCCAGCGATGGTGAGCACGATGTCCATGCTGACCCGCTTGGGGTGGACAACCCCGAGCCTCCAGCTGATCTGTTGAGGGATACGGAGGAACACTCTCTTGATGTAGTTTCTAGGTCGTCTGGGGGTGAAGATGATGAACCAGATCCCGCTTGGCTACTCCCAGAGTCGTGACCGATATGTACACCCAGTGCCTGGTTCATTTACTTGGAAGATATTACTAGCTCCGATCAAAGTAGCTTGAAAGCCTCCGGATATCTTACATTCTAATCATGAAGCATCGTTTGCCTGCTGCTTTCAGGTGTTTGCTCTAGTTAACACAGAATTATAATCTGACATGATCCGAGTAACAAGCTAGAATTAGGACAGCAACCACTTCGCTGACTAGTCACCATGCCTATAATATTTGGACAAGCGCATTACGAAAACAATGTCACAAGGGATGATGTCTGCATGACCCCAAGCCGTCTTTTGGAGGGGCTATACTGGCAGATATATAGGTTTGTGGGCAAATATATACATATGTATTGCATGAGCCTCCTGTGACCCCGAAGTATAGCACTGGGTAAGTTACAGTTAATGTTCCTTGACGGTATTGCTGTAACTATGAAGAGAAGCTGTGCAGTACAAACTGCAGCAGCGGCTCATTGACCATCTTTTGCCTGGGTTCCGTAAACGCTTGGGCCCGACCAGCGAGCGTCCCACACAAGGTACAGTGCAGTACACTCGTACTTCCTCTTTTAATCTCCTCCCTATCAACAGGCCTGCTGATTTAATTTAAGCCAAGTAACCTGTTCCCCGCCTCCGTCCCACACACACGACTCAAGAAGTTTCCAGCATCCTAGTGATATGCCACAGATATATATGTGCTGAGGGTGGATTTGGAACTCGCCTCTGATAATGCACCTCCCCACCGCAACGCACACCTTCACTATTCCGTCCCTCCATGATGGACTCAGGCTCGACTGCCGGATCTACCATCCACAAGGACAGTTGAATCCCAGCAGTCCGTCATGTCAGCGGATACGAGGTGCGATCGTTGCACATCCGTACGCCCCTCTCGGAGGATGCTACGACGATCCGGTCGTGGCTTTTGTTGCAGGGGAGCTTCTCCGAGCTGGGTTCGTGGTGGGCACCTTCAACTTCCGGTAAGCATTGCCACCCTTTTTGTGTGTGTGTTTGTGTGTTTCTGGGATATCAGTCTCGCCGAGATGTCTCATCCATCCGTCAGCTGCTTGACAGTCCGAAACCCTTCATTAGTTCCAAACTAATATGTGTTACAGTGGCGCCGGTGGCTCTGAAGGGCGGACAAGCTGGACCGGCAGGCCTGAACTGGCCGATTACGCTTCTTTCTACGAATTCATGCTGCTCTATCTGCATCGCTTGAGAGACACACGCTCTACTTCATCGCAGAATGGCGGAAATAAGCTTGAAGCGGTGCAGCTCGTATTAGGCGGCTACTCATATGGGTCAATGATTGCATCGTCTCTGCCGCACCTAGATCTGATTGCGGATGTTGTCAGGCAAAGTAACCATGGTACTCCCATGCATGAGATCTACCAAATCGCTCGAGATCTTGTTTACTGTTCAGAGGAAGACAAGGACATTCTCGAACAACAGAAATACACGCCTCAGGAGATGAAAAAAGTCGCGGGCACCATTGAGAGAACAAGGGTCGCCTATTTACTTATCTCACCCATCTTGCCCCCAATCAACCGGTTTCTGACATTATTTGCCAAGCTGTCGCTTGACATCGGACCGTTTGAGTCGTCTCAGAGGCAGTCGATTCCTTGTCCGCAGCCAGCAGACCAGGTGTGCGCGCATGAAACACTTGCTCTCTATGGAAACCAGGATACGTTCACATCCGCACATAAGTTGCAGACTTGGTCAAAAGAGCTCAGCCAGAATCCGTCAAGTAAGTTCCAGTCGGTTGAGATCGATGGAGCAGGGCATTTTTGGATTGAGGATGGTGTCCGATCTCAGGCCAGAGACGCTATCAGGAACTGGCTATGTCGAATTCGTTAATCCCCGCGCCGTGGTCAGTAGGTAATGTGGATTACATCACAAGAGCGAATGAGTCTAGATTATCTTCCATACAATGGCCATCGGTGCATGGGGCCCGAAAGAATGAGTACTGCCAACCAGAAGTCAGTTTCACATGCGGGCCAGGGAGTCGACTATGATAAGTAAGGTAGCATGTGAAACTCTTCTGTACGCGTGACCGGCCATCCTGGTCTGGGGAGACCGACAAAATACCCAATTAAATGCAACGCAAAGTTCGGATTCGAACTCGAAAGAAAATATCAGCTTTGTCCTAAGCATATGGAGGGAGATAGGTGTGTGAGCTGGGATGGTCCTGGTATCCTCCTTATCACACTCGAGCAACCAAGTGACCGACACCACCACACCAATCACGCCAAGGCCATCGCAGCCTGCTAAGGACATTTTCTCACGATAGTGGGTAACTAACCCATCCTCGTCAGAGGTAGTTGATGCAAGGCTCCCTTGTTATTGGACCCTTGGACTTCCGATGCACGGCAACCACGGTCGCACACCTCCATGCAAGATCGCACCTTATGAAGAACCGCACCAGACGCGGATCCAGCTGGACGCGTTCATCAAACAAGCAAGAATAATTACCTCACCCCTGCGCATGGAACCCTGTTTGCAGTCTGTTGGTGTTCTACATTTTTCGCCTTCGAAAACCTCAAAGACAAGAATTATCCCTACTCAACGATGGTACAGTACATATAGACTGACAAATGTGGGGGAAGTGAGACCAGCGGGTGCTAGTATTGGAATTACTCTAATAGGATCAGGCCGGAAAGATAAACCTAGAGCATTCGAGGGAATATTTGGTGTTGGGAAAGTATCTGACTCAAAACTCCGTGCTGATGTGGGGGGCCAGAGGGGGGCAATAAGGATGAGTGGTGCATGATGGCATCAAGGCGCATTCCAGGCGAATCCGATTAGAGTTGTGTTTGTGTGGTTCAAGTTCTATTCAGCAGGTTCGTCAATCACTGCAGCATCTGACCCGATGAGGGATATTACCCATTTGACAGTTACTACTCCAGTAGGTAGGTAGCATGAGGCAGTTGCCCCTCTAGGCAAGCAACCCTCCTTCTATTCTATTCCAGAGACTGAGGGATGTCATTATGTAGGCATCATTCCGACCCGGGGCTCCATCTTTCTGTCCCCGCGTCCAGTATGAGTAAGTTAGTGAGTAGTGCAGACAGGGAGGATCGGCAGCAGCCGAAAGAGGACAGCGGGGGAGATTGAATCTCCGGCCGGCCTCGTGACGTTTAGGTTGAGTGAGACCTTGGAGAGTTTCCTCTTTTCCCCACCCATAATTCAACCCCGGGTCTCATCAGCTGCTGCTGCTGCTGACTGAGCCTTTCAATACAAGCTGTCTGCAATCATAACCCCCAGATCCCTGTCCTCACACCCTTTTTTTACTTTACTTTACTTGACTTTACTTTTCTATACCCTTCGCACTCTATGAACTGACTAGGGACTAAGTACGGAGTAGTGCCTAACAACAACTTAATTCATCCATCCATCCTAGAATCTCACAAAGTATTGCCATTCATCCATCCCAAGCTTACTATACCAATCTCACTTGACTATATCACTACAATCACTTCCACTTCCATTCTACATCACTTTACCTCCCTTTCCCGTTCCCCCCCGCATACCAAGCAAGCACTTTGTACTTTTTCGTTTATGTGTTCCTTCCTCTTCTCAACCACCCCTAGAATCATCCACAGACCTTTCCAGCCCACAATCATCGTCCCTTGTTACTCTAGCTCTGCGGACGTCTTCTTCTAAGCCTATCTCGCATGCGTCTTTCCTCATACATGGACTGATGCGGGCCCAAGTCTGTCATGTCATTACTCCACGATCCTACCGTTGTGCGCACTCAGTGCAATAGTAAATCCAAGCGTCGTCCGACTCAGGATGCGATTCGAGGCGCGAGCGGCGGGCCTCGGCGTTCTCTGCTCAAGTCCATCTCAGTCCCATCTCTGTCATCCGTTGTCAAGAGCTCTTTGACATGGGCTGGAGATACATTGAACTACCGCAGAGATGGCGTATGTGCCGAGCAATCCAAAGCGCGCATTGACATAGAAGACAGGAAACAGGTTCTTTACTTGAAAAAGCGGAATGTGAGCTACGATGTCTACTGCTGGCAATTTCTCCAGCAGAGGTAATGAAAATGAATTGGTAGCCATCTAACTAACACCTTGGTACAGGCAGTGACATATGACGAGTGGCGGATTTGTGCTAGCGAATTGGATGACCTGGAAGAGCACACCATCTGGAAGCAAATCCTCGACTCACCTGACTACGACGTCCGTCTGGTCCAAGAACGTCTTCAGCAGCTGGAAGACGCCCGCATCAGTTGTGATGTCAGCCGGATGCTGTTCCTAGTCCGTACGTCTTTGAGTCGCGACTTGGGAAACATGAGTAATGCCTCGCTTTATCGGTACTCCCACCTGGGCACGAAAGATTTGATAGACAAGTATATCACTACCGCTCTAGACACAATATCCTCGCTGGTCGAGTTATCGGGGCAGAATCGGTGTGATGGTCTAGAAACCAAGTATATACTCGATCAATTACTTGCAGCGAGACAGGCATTCGGGCGCAGCGCGTTGCTGTTCTCGGGTGGTGCGACCTTCGGTATGAACCATATCGGCGTGCTGAAAGCTCTTTACGAAGCGAAACTCTTACCTCGAATTATCTCGGGTGCTTCAGCCGGCAGCATTGTGTGCGCAGTGTTCTGCACACGGACTGAGGACGAGCTTCCGGCCCTCTTGGAATCCTATGCATATGGCGATTTTGCAGTCTTTGGCGAAGAGAGTGACTCGGATAATATACTACAGAAGACAGCCCGGTTCCTCAAGTATGGTTCATTTCTGGATATATCACATCTGGCCAAACTCATGAGAAGCTGGCTTGGCGATATAACATTTCAGGAAGCATACAATCGAACACGACGAATACTGAATATTTGTGTCTCTAGTGCGGGGGTCTACGAACTTCCCAAGTTGTTGAACTATATCACTGCTCCGAACGTGTTGATCTGGTCTGCTGTGTAAGACGTCTTTTTGCTTTTCAATCTTAACATCCTTCATGTCGACCACGAGACTAACCTCAATAGTGCTGTTTCCTGCTCAGTGCCTTTGGTCTTTTCACCATCCGAGCTCATGGCTAAAGATCCTCTGACCGGAGAGCCGGCGCCATGGCATGACTTACACAAACAATATATCGATGGATCGGTGGATGGCGACCTGCCAATGAATCGGCTTTCGGAGATGTTCAATGTCAATCATTTTATCGTCTCGCAGGTCAATCCACATGTCGTCCCATTCTTGCCGAATGACGATGGTCCACCTCAGCGTGGAAAAACGTCCTTCAATGCCCCACAGTGGCTTCATACTGCCACTCATCTGGCCAAAGACGAAATAATGTATCGCTTGACAGTTCTCTCCGAAATGGGAATTTGTCCAACAGCTTTGACGAAGACCATGTCTATTGTGAACCAAAAATATTCCGGCGATATCAATATCTATCCGAAAATACTGTATAGCAATTTCCCGGTGATGCTGAGGAACCCGACAACCGAGTTCATGCTTCAAGCATGCCTGAGTGGCGAACGTGCAACATGGCCCAAGCTCGGGCGCATTCGAAACCATTGCGCCATTGAATTGGCCTTGGATATAGCGGTACAGAAAATGCGAGCACGGGTGGCATTTTGTCCTGCCAAACTCGGCGTCCGGTCAGATAATAGTCTCAACAGCTACTCGCTCGAGTCGCTAGATAGCAGTGGTGGCCGTGGGCGCATGCTGAATAGACGAAGCTCGTACAACCATGAATTGGAACGAAGAAAGTCCGCCAAATATCACAATACCCGCCCAAACACCCCACACTTGCCGAGGTCTCGAAGCGTCTTCTTATCCGATCAATCACAGAGTATTGCCTCCGTGGTCTCTGCTTGTGAGGATCACGATCATCAGCAACGCACGCAAGAGGAGCGGGAGGACTCCTCCAATAATGGTGACGAACCTTCTTCCATGGAATCTGATACCGAGGAAGAAACACAGACTCTGTCTCCCAAACGGCCGCAGATGAGCAGCACTTGGCGAACCTGGGAGCCATGCTCTCAAGATCACCCCTATTCTTGGATGGCTCTCAAAAGTGATTCATTATCCTCACAATCGACGCCGGGTTCCTCGTCGTCCTCCGGCCAATCTGTGCGATCGCCACTTCAAGGGTTTGCCACTCGTTCTCCGGAATATGTATCGTGTGGCATGCACGAGACATCATTATCACCTTCCCGCCAACTGCTGCGAATGACACCAACGACCCATGTCAAAAACCCCAGCAGGTCCTCTTTAACACTTTGACATGAATGGATGATTGTTTCAAGGAACGCTGCACATCCTTGTCTGTGCTTTGATGTGGCAAGTGTGCTCTTTTCACGTCCTCAAGTCTTTTTGCATCACCCAGTCATTTTTGTTTATTTTGGCGCATACCTTTTCCTACGGCCTTAAGAGTGTATATGACCCGAGTCCATGAGCAGCCTAGATGTAAGGAGCCGGCGTTTAGAGTGGCAGATCATTGACTCGGCCAGATTTAGATAGCACTACCTAGCCATAGACTTGCATCAGATAAATGGAGCTTCGTGATTTGCTGACTCGACAATTTACTATTTTGAACTTCCTAGGTGAGTTGTATTTGTGCTGGCCGACCTACAATGACATGCATGATGCATACAGGATGGAGTCAATTGTGTCTTTCAAAAATAGAACAGCTTCATGGGCGCATGAAGAGGTCTCACGATTGGCTTGGACTGTACGACTAAATACCTAATTGGTAAATAGCATGCATATACTTAGTACTGGTGACCTGTACCTATGCGCCCGACACCTACTAGGTGATGGCCAGCGCTAACTTGCTGCGAATCGCTTTACTGCACAGAGCTTGGAAGCGACGCGATTTCCCCTCTTTCTGGCGCATCGCTAATTGTCTGGCGGTCCAACGATCCAATAGATGGCCCCAATCTGGGTTGCACCTGCTGCAGTGCTACTAATTAGTTGAGTTTAATATAGTACTAGGTAGATACTGCACACATGAGTACTAGCTGCCTCAGGCTAACCCCGCTCTCCACTTCCAATCTACTGGGACATCGGCGGCTAATCTCCAGCTAGTATGCTTTCCAAGCTCATCTCCATGCTAGTTACGTGCTTCTAATGTTGGAAACATACACTTCCTACTTCCTGTTTGCATAATGCAGCATCGGATGTCGCTTGTTTGCTTCTGACTTACAGCACGATGACACAAATATCCCTCCATCCTAACCGACTGCGTTCTTGTGGATAAGCTTTTATATTCACCGTCTCCCCCGGATCACAAAGGATTCACTTCTCAGCCTTGTTTGGGGTCTGTGCTTACAAGAACTGCCTGGAACGAAGATCCGATTGGGCTATCCTCACATTCTTCAGCTGTGTTCTTTAGTGTTTCTACAAGCGCTTGCCCAGAGTTCAGCTGTCCAGCTGTCCAGCTGTCCAGCCAAAGCTGACAGCCACCAACACCAACTTGAAATCCCAGTGGTGCTCGACTGCTTCCCCCAAACCCTAGCATGCGGCTTTTTCTTTGCTTTTGCTCTGGCTATTGAGGTGCTTGCTGTCTTTGACTGTTGGTTTCTTTGTTTGTTCCTGTTTCGAGGTGCCCAACAATCCAACCTTGCAACCTTGAAACACCCCTCGTGATGGCAAGCGCCGTGAAAGGTCCTCTGGGACGATTCCGAAAACACGATTCTCCCTCGCCACTTCATGAGCGATGGGGTGACGTGAGAATCACCGTTCCGACTGAGGGGTCCTGGAATCAATATGAGAATCCTCGCCAGTCCTCGCTCCGAGAAGGGACCTGCAGCACGGGCTTCGTGCCTGCCGCCATGAGTCGCAGCCACGACGATGAGACGGCTCCGTTGACAGAATATGACCATCGAATTGCCAGGCCCAGCTCATTGTCCGTCAAAGCTCTAAACCCGCGCCGACTATCTGTGCGGCTCAATCCTCGATCCAAGACCTCGAACGACTCTCCCCAGGAGAAAAACCAACAGCCCACCACCAAAGCGGAACGCAGACGGTCTCAGTTCGCCTACAGACCCATTCAGCAAGACTACCCCACCGAAATCGCTGAAAAGACAGCATTCCCAGAGCCCCGTTCTCCACGATTCAAATACATACCCGCTGGCGCTCAATTCACAGAAGAGCTTAGAGCGATCTCGCCAGAGCTTCATTCCAGCCGTCGTGCGAGCTCCTATATCCCTTACGATGAAGGCTCTCTGGAACGGCGTGCGCGGCCTCGGACCCGTTTTGACCAGCTCGAAGATGCATCCGGAGACCAAGTGTTTGAGGGGGGGCACCATCACTTTAGACAATCGCGATCTTTGGCCTCCCCGCGCCGAAGCGAGGCGAGCAGTAGCCGACGCGCCAGCGCTTCGGTGGAGAGGGGTCTCAAGCTCTCGACGTTTGACAAAAGAGCTACTCGGCTGGGGAAGTACATGACCACAGCCATGGTACCTGATCCAGACCAGCTATACGAATGACTTCAGCAACGAGACATGAACATCGACGTTCGATAATGCCCGTGACGGCCTACGGAACCGGACCGATTCAAATCTTGCATAGCGTTGCTCTTGGCATGGCGTTTGGTGGCTGAATTGCTTTTTTTGAGAGTTCCGGTAGAAGCCGGTAACTTAGTTACTCAGTACTCACTGTATATATTTATAATATAATCAATCATACATTATTGTCAGTATGTGTGCACAAGCATCGATTGTTGGAATTGTTTGATGATTCATTCGGATTCAATTGTTCAATTAATTACCTGTATTGTCCGAATTACTAACCCTTGAGGCGAGTGGCTGACGTCAACCTGACGAGTCTCTCCATTCCATGTGTGACTCCCGCAAATGTTGGAATTTATTGTCCGCACCCAATTGGCGGGATCTCTTCCTCAGTACTAGTACTCCTAATATCTCTGCTGACTTCGGCTTGGGAGCTGTCAAGCCGAGAGCAAGATCTTGCCGTGGTACCTGAAACTACCTTGTCGTGGAAATCCCGAAAGGAACAACCCTGACAATGATAAGGACATGACGCCATGAAACCCAGGCCTCGAATCAAGTCGACTCCCCACAACATGACGCCATTTTAACGCACTTCAAGGGCACATCAGAGAAGCAACAGAATAACTATGGAGATTGATTTATAGTGTTCGGAGGAATGTGTTCTATCCCATGGATCGACATTTATTCGATATTTGTTCTTGAGCCTATACATATAGCATTACTACGTTGCCCACCATGCCAGATTCAGTAGTTCAGTTGCTATGTGGTGTTAAGGTATGGCCGATCTTCCCAAGTCCGTTCAATTTTCTTCACCACGTGCTAATTAGCTTCCAGAATGACCCATGGGGCAAGAAGGGAAAGGATTCCCTCGCCGGTGTGCTCTGGTCCAAAACACCCGGAGCGGGAGAGGTTGATGATTCCAAGACCTATTCTGAAGTGAGCTCTACGATAGCACCGCTCCTGGCGGCTCAGCTACTGACAAGTCACAGATGTGGATGGGAACATACCCTACAGTTCCCTCCAAAATCCTGTCTACAGGACAGCTGCTGAGCGACTACCTGAAAGAGAACCAAGAGGTTGTGGGCAAGTCCGCGTTGGACAAATGGGGTCCGGAGGTGCCTTACCTACCTAAGGTATGAAACAAACCCTCGGCCAACGCGCCTCGATTGCTCAGCGCAAGCAGTCTAACCGAAAGAACAGATCCTCTCTTTCTCCAAGGCGCTCCCCCTGCAGTTACACCCTGACAAGGCTCTATCCGAGAAGCTTCACCAGGAGGACCCGAGCAAGTTCGGTGATCCCAACCACAAGCCGGAGATTGCCATCGCGTTGTCGAAGTTCGAGCTCTTTGCGGGCTTCAAGCCCTTGGCCGAGATCGAGCAGCTGCTGAAAGTCAAGCCGCTCGATCAGTTTGTGCCCCCGGGCCAAACCTCCGGCCTCGACGACGAGCTGCTCCGCGAGATCTGCCGGATCCTGTTGACGCTGCCCCCCTCCATTGTCGCCGAGACGATTAAGGAGCTATTGGAGATCCCGGAATCGCGGTTCGGGCCCAACCAGCGGTACATCCCTGGTCTCCTCGACCGGTTACGCAAGCAATACCCGGAGACCGACAACGGAAGCTTAGTGGCAGTGCTACTTATGAACTACATGACGCTGGGGCCCGGGGAGGCGGTTTGCGTTCCGGCGGATAGTATCCACGCGTACCTGCACGGCGATATCATGGAGTGCATGGCCCGGTCGGACAACGTGCTCAACACGGGCTTCTGCCCCAAGGCCGAGAAGGACAGCGTCGACCTCTTCACCCGCGCGCTGTCGTTCAAGCCGCATGGCCCGGACGAGGCGATCTTGCCGCGCCGGAAGAGCGACAAGGGCGAGCACTTCAAGACGGAAGTGTACGCCCCGCCGTTCAGTGAGTTCAATGTCCTGGGCACCAGTCTGGGGGCCGGCGAGAAGGAGACATACAAGCCAGTCGGCGGTCCTAGTCTGTTGATCGTGACCAAGGGCAATGGCACAATGACTGTGGCCGGTGGTGACGGGACGACTTTCGACTTGCGCGAGGGCTATACGTACTTTATCGGGGCGGGGGTGGCCTTGGACCTGAGCACGGAGAAAGGCATCGCGGTATACCGCCCGTATGCGGAGTAGAATGAACGAATAGAGGAGTTGAGAGCGGGGAGTGTGTCGATATTTTATATTAGCGATCGCGATATGATAACGTGGAATATATTGTTCTTTTGTAATGCCCACATGAGGAGAATCTTCAGATGGTACTGTACTGTATCTTTCGGGACATGGCAACTTCGCCAAATACCGAAGCCGAAACCACAACCCACGAAAGACACATTCCAAGACAAAACAGAATTGCATAACATTCTGCTATATAGCTAGTCATCTACGGAAATGAGCAGCTATCAAACAGTATAAATATAGATCCAGACTAGAACGATAGCTTGATTCTTGATTCTATTTTGGTCCGCGCATCCCAGCAACCCAACCGACAAGTAAAATAGCCGCCGGCCGATACGAGAGAGACCACACACTCACTGCACATGCGCTCAGGGCATGATAAGAGAGGGGAGATCAAACTATCACCATCCAATCGATTAACTCTTTGGTCTCTTTTCTCCCCCGCCTCTTGCAGGAGACAGTTCTTCTCAAAGGTATAGTATACTATTTTTAACCCTTCCCCCCCGGACAAGAAATGGAGACCCACGCTGCGCCTATGCTTGTTTTCTTCAGCCCTGGATCAAGGGTAAAGTAAACGCGGGTTGGGGGGGGGGGAGCATGTGTGTGACATCTGTAAGGGCTAAGGGATTCCATTCATGCATAACCCACCAGTATGTCCCGTTGAGATTAAAATAGCTTTTGGAAGGGACTAGGCGGGGGAGAGAGAGGAACGAACCCAAGGGGAACGATGAGGGTGCTTTGACATTCATCCTGGTTTTCTCACCTTACTTTAAGATAGGTGGCGGCCGGTTCGTCCAGCTCTGCCCCGTTCTTGGGGTTTCTCTTCTTTGCTCTTTGCTGCCTTTTTTTTCCCTTCGCCCCTTTCTGCCCTTTGTTCTTGCGTGTTGTGGGTTAGATTGCTGTATGTGTGTGTGTGTGGGGTGTGCGTGTGCTTGTTCTCGCTGTCCTCTGGGTTCCTCCGTGTGAATTGAGGAGAACGAGACGCAGTGTACTGGGGTTTTATCTTTTTGCTCAATTGGATGTATGTCTGGTCGTCGGTCAGTCGGTCAAGTCAGTCGATATCATTTGGACTTGGATAGACAGACATCAGGGAACACATACAAGATGAAGCCACGGATCCTCGGGGTGCGATCGACGGGTCTCTCATCGTCGAGTATGGATGGGATGATCATTGGAGTGGTCCTTGGGAGTGTCGTGCTGGTGGCTGGTGAGCCTTGAAATTTCCAATTCGTCCTTCTTGATTATGAATTGTCTTGTCTCGTGTTTTGTTCTTGTGTTGTGTTGTGTTGTGTTGTGTCTGGTTCCTGTGTTGTTGTTGTCGCCTTCACGACACAACCAACATGGAAAGGGAAGGGACTGAATCCGAGAAGACAAACTCGGCCAAACTGACCATCAGCCCAACAACAGTGACCGGCATCCTGGCCTTCCTCTGCCACAAGAGACGCTCCATGCAACGTCGTGAGGACCGACAGTTCCTCATCGACCATCACATCTCCTACGCCTTGGGCTACTATCCCACTCTGCGTGATCTCGACGCCAACCAGAAGGAGCAGCAGCTCGAAGAAGGAAGGGGAGAAGCAGGAGGAGGAACAACGATATTATCGGCCTTCCCTCCCCCAACCCAGCCCATGTCGCGTCTCTCAGCTCATTACCACAGCCCGGTCGATGACTTCCTTCGCGATCCACCCCCAGCCTATCAACCTCAACCCTTACCCACCTATGACCCTTCTCGATATCAGAGGGTCGATGCCCCTCCCCCTCCTGCTCCGGTTGTTGGGCTCGCTATCCCCTATCATCATTATCCTACACTGGGTCTTCAGCAGGAAAGACCCCCGTCGTCGATCTGGAGTCCACCAGCTCCCATCATGGCTCAGCGGGACTCGTTGGTTACTCCTAGATTCTCCTTTCAGCCTTCACCCACGATAGGTCCCTTGCGGGACTTGAATGATGATGCCTCTCTTGCTTCGTCTAATAACTTAGATGGCACAGCACAGCAGATGCCGCGACGGCCTAGACCTGTGTTGTCGAGACTGGTGACAGATCTTCGATGATCACGAGAGGAGGAAGTTCTTTCTTTGTTTTTCTCAGACCTTTCTGTCGCTCGCTTATAGATTGATACCTCTCTTGTCCTTTTGCTTTCCATTCCTTGGGAAAGCGCTCGTTTCTGTTATGGTTGGTCGACTTGTGTTTGACTGAACGCATGGAGGACAAAGCTGCTTGGATGCATTATGATGATGACGATGATGATGACGATGATGATGATGATGTTTGTGATGTTGATGTTTATGATTACGAAAAGGAAGAGAGGATGGAGAGGATGCAACAGCACACCAACGACGGGGTACAGAAAGATGGTATGAGCTCGTGGTTGGAGCTACTCCGCCAAAGTCCTACAGGCTCAGCGTCTACAGATGCTATTGGCGATCTACCTCGAAGGGTCCGATGGCAGATGCTGTTACATGAGCTGAACCGAAGCAGCTCTTCCCTGAGCGGGTGTCACTCAACTCCAGGTTGGTACTTTTTCAAAGCTCCTCTTACCCCTCTCCCCTCACGCCTCGCTGTTCCTTCCCGTCCTCAAGTCTACTGACGCACGACAGCTCAGCTGGAGTCGCCTAAGTACTTCGTCCATCGCGGAGGGAAATGGATTGATCCCTCGAATGGTTACGTCCGGCGGCTAGAACACCGGGAACAAACAGGTTATAGTCTACCCCATCATGTGTGGAGGTGGGGGTTGGTTGTTGGGTACTCGGCAACAAGTGCGACACGCCATAACGTTTGCGAGCCGACAGACGACGACTTTGCAGGCCCCCAGTCTGCGTCCATTAACCCAAAGGAGAAAAAGCTACGATCAGTGGGCTGGCCATATGGTCTGGGTATCTCGAGAATTCCCGCTCTTGCTAGGGTCACCAGAGAGGGGGTCATGGTCGCCGCCCTGCAGCTAGAGAACGAAGGAGGATTCCTCGGAGCCGACAAGCTGCGGAGTGACGACGAGATGTGACAATGACTCCTCGTCTGCTGGAGGGGATCCATCCAGGCGCGTAGATAAGCTCTGCGGGTGGTTCGGGTCCAGCCGCGACGATCAAACCGGTGGTTGTCCTTTGCGGCTTCCCCTCTTTTCTCGTCGCCAGACCCTGGCCTCCTAGGCGAACAGCCAAATGGTTTGCTGACGCCGGCCGAACCACTGGCCTCGCCCTAATTACCTGCTGACCAGTGAATTGCGCAAACCTCGCGCCCTTGCTTCAGCTATTACGAGGCCTCCAGCTATCACCTCGAGCGGTTAATATCGCCTCATCCGTCTTCACCATGGCATGTCTCAAAATCGATACTACCAACCTGCTAGCCTCGACAAGGATATTTTCCAGTCTTCCAGTGCTGGTTGACGCCGAGGTCACTAGATGCGCCATGCCAAGACGACGACCAATTATTAGGCGCATTGCTGTCTGCCATCCCAGTAGCTGCACGCAGCTAGCAACTTGCAAAAGCAAGTTGACTGCGCCGCGTCCACATCTTCGCGACTGACCTCCTCACCCCTGCCCAGCAGTTACGCGGACCAGAACCCCTTCCTGCCTCAAACGCCCGTTAATGGCGGTGATTGCGGCCAACCTCCGTGCCGCTTTCATAAAAGCGATTCGTGTTCGGATAAAAGTGACCCTCACTCGACTTTCTTCCCCCACTCCACCCGGACGAAATGACTGCGATGAGGGTGTGCGAACCAGACTGTCGGGTCGTGTGTGAATGCCTTACACACCCGTGCGACCGTCACTGACTCGCCTGGCCCAGGATGACTACCTGCCGCTGCTGAAGGAATTGCCTGAAGGAAATCCAATTGTCGGTCCCCTCTGACTGGGACCCCCATCTATCAACCTTTTGAGCGATATGCATGAGCCCCTCGGCCGGCCGAATTTTCCTGTCATCGAGTAAATTGTACCGCCTCGATAGAGACGGGTCTCGAAGCCTGCGGCGCCGCATGGTGGTCTTCGTCCCTTCGACTACCTTCCTCTTTGAGACAGCTTCAGGGACTACGTTGTAGTGGAGGGAATATTGGGTAAGAAAAGGGGACCGGCTACACACTGGGGGGACCCCATCCTTGAAAGGTACTGTGGATGTCTCGGCTCTTCCTTCCTTGGCCCTCAACTTTTCGATCCTCCGTGGCTCGGCCGTCGATGCTAATCCCATCTCAGCCTCTTCAGGCTTCATTCCATGAAAAGTCCTCTTGCGATTATGACGAACCTCATGCAGAAACTGCGAAGGAAGCGGAAGCTATCGTCCGAATTGCATTCACGATGGGGCGACATATCTATCACCTATCCCAACGGCGGCTCTTGGAACCAGTGGGATCAAGCGAGTGCGGGCGCCCGCACATCTGATGGAGACCGCGAACGGCGACAAAACTCGCTCGAGCCTGGTAGATGCGCCAGTTCGCCTCGCATAGGAGCTTCGGGACAACCGGCCAGCAGAGATGGGCGAGCACAATCCGTTGATTCAGCCATGACCATTCCTACGGGCCACTACGATGCACGAGTGGGTAATCGCTCCAGGCAGAAGCAACACTCGTATGAATCAACCGTTGTTCATCCGCCGAGTGCCTGGTATCATTCGTGCTCCGACGATGGCTCGATGGAAGAGACAGAAGGGGCAACCGTTCCATCACCGCAGAATGTATCGAACGGGCGACACCAGCCCTCCTCCGGTCGGCCCAGTCTGTACGAGGATTCTGAACTTTACTCGCGAGCGTCCAAGTCGCCCCCATTGTCTGTGACGTCGCGTATGCGCGGATGTAGTGTCCAGGGGTATTTGGCAGAGTCTCCAGTGTCGATGCCAGGGACGGTCGGGTCGAGACATAACAGCTATACTTCCTCAGTTCCCTCGAATCCGTCCGAGGACCAGCGGATTCCGGGGATTATCCCACCATCCTCTACGCTGGCAGAGCGGAGGGCTAGCCGACGATCTAAGCAGGA